TTTGAAAACAAAAGAGGAAAAACAACCAATTGAAATCTCTGCAACAAATTTTATTCTTTTTTTTCTGATGTATAAATATTTTCCCTTTTTTCTAGAAACAAATAACCCCTCGACTGAAAATAATAATAAAAAAATAAAATAATAACAAAAATATGATGCGACCAGCTGCCTGCAGCAGTGTCATAAAATATCTACCTTGACAATAAACTATGAACACCATTATCCTCGTTGTGGTTGTCATTTTCTAAATAAATGTGCATAAACATTGCTCGTTAATTTCCACATAACAACAAAACAAGGGGTTTCTTTCCTTTGTTTTCCTTGTAGTCGTCGTATTGTTATTAACGTTGTTATTGTCGTGCGTCACATTTCCAAAAGGTATTTTTAGTTGAGTCTTCTTTCAAAGTTGAATTTCAACGTTTTCCCCGCAGTCTTACCCAATATAAGCCAAGTTTATTTGAGACGAGTTACCACCAACAACAACAGCAGCAGTGCTAAATTACAACAAAATATCATTTCCATCATTATGATCATGATTACCATAAATCCAGAATATTAACCATTTTCCATTTAAGATCAACTCATCTTTCCAAATGTGTGTTGCAGCATCAAATATTTAACCAGTTCATATTCATTATCATCATTATTGTCGTCATCAATAATAAATAGCACACATTACTGTAAAATTCACAGCACACACACACATTAACGCGAGCAAATAATGGTTTAATCTTTAAAGCTTGAAGTTAACATGGTCAAACAAACCAGCCGCTATTACGAGAGGGCACATGAAATGAGATATAAGGTATCTGTAAATGTGTATGAATCATTTAATCACTAAATATTCCAATCTTCAACCCCATCAAGAAAACATATCTGGATTTACCTTACTGATACTGAAATTGATCATCGGTTTCTGAAAATATTCTGTAAGTCTAAATAACATTGTTTCTTTCTTCCGTTTGAGTACCAAATATTTAGAGTTCAGAAAAAAACATTCTACTAACGACACAATGAACAACATAATATCGGAAGTTGTTGTATCGGAACATTATTTTGAGCTGGACGTATGACCTTTGGTGACAAATTGTGAGTAGCATTTATATATAATTAAAATTGGTTTCAAATTAGTTAGTTTGTAAAGGTTTTTGACTTTTCGTTATCCTTTTTTGTTCTATGAAATTTGAAACCCATCTGCATTTCATCTTGAAATATCTTCGGAAATTTTTCACAATATTTGGGTACAAATTAACTGCAAACATTAGTAGAAGATTGACGATTGACGGATTTCTATGTTCAAGTATTTCGAAAGAAGTAACGTTCCAACATTGGTAAAATCTCAAGTGATTGAACGAAACACAATTTGAGACGATTTTGTATCAACTTTCAACTGTTTTAATTATCAATATGGCTAACAACGAAAAGTCCATTGGTGAAAATATCCATGCTCCTAAGAAATCCTTCTTGTTTTTCTGATCAAGTGATTACCTAATATTCGAAAAAATAGACAAAAAATAGTGACAAATTATTATACAAACAGATGTCAAAAGGCGCAAAATTGTGGGGTACCCCACAATTTTCGGTATTTTGGGGTTCTTCAGCGCGTTTTTCAGCCGAATTCGCTGAAATGTGCTACATTGAGTTCTTATTGGGTCCTAAATGTCTCCACAAAAAATTTTAAATATAGGTCCACTTTTTCTGGTAACCCTTATATAACGGTACCTCCCAATTTTCAGTATTTTGGGGGTTTTTCTCGTATTTTCGCCGAATTAGCTGTAATTTAGTATTTTTAGCTCTTAATATGTACCAAATCTCTCCACACCCCCCATATTTAATGGTACCCCCAATTTTCGGTATTTTGAAGTTCTTGAGCGCGCTTTTCAACCGAATTTGCTGCAATTTGGTATTTTGTAGTCGTATATGGTAACAAATCTCTCTACCAATTAGCAAAAGCAATTCAAACTATTATTTTACATTAGAAAAAGTGCCACATTTATAAAATAAAAATAAACAAAAAGAAAAATAAAATAAATATTGTGAAAAAAAGGTAAATGCAATTGACAAGGGAAAAAAGGCACTAGCAACAACGGACAAAAATAATATTAATTTATTTTTAATACCGAGTTTTGTAATAAAAATGTTCTTAACTTGTTTTATAAACGAAATGGGGTATTGATCAATTGCAACAAAGAAGAAAAATTGCAACAAAGTAAAAAAGATGCAATAAGAAGAGCTTTGAAAACAAAAGAGGAAAACCAACCAATTGAAATCTCTGCAACAAATTTTATTCTTTTTTTTCTGATGTATAAATATTTTCCCTTTTTTCTAGAAACAAATAACCCCTCGACTGAAAATAATAATAAAAAAATAAAATAATAACAAAAATATGATGCGACCAGCTGCCTGCAGCAGTGTCATAAAATATCTACCTTGACAATAAACTATGAACACCATTATCCTCGTTGTGGTTGTCATTTTCTAAATAAATGTGCATAAACATTGCTCGTTAATTTCCACATAACAACAAAACAAGGGGTTTCTTTCCTTTGTTTTCCTTGTAGTCGTCGTCTTGTTATTAACGTTGTTATTGTCGTGCGTCACATTTCCAAAAGGTATTTTTAGTTGAGTCTTCTTTCAAAGTTGAATTTCAACGTTTTCCCCGCAGTCTTACCTAATATAAGCCAAGTTTATTTGAGACGAGTTACCACCAACAACAACAGCAGCAGTGCTAACTTACAACAAAATATCATTTCCATCATTGTGATCATGATTACCACAAATCCAGAATATTAACCATTTTCCATTTAAGATCAACTCATCTTTCCAAATGTGTGTTGAAGCATCAAATATTTAACCAGTTCATATTCATTATCATCATTATTGTCGTCATCAGTAATAAATAGCACACATTACTGTAAAATTCACAGCACACACACACATTAACGCGAGCAAATAATGGTTTAATCTTTAAAGCTTGAAGTTAACATGGTCAAACAAACCAGCCGCTATTACGAGAGGGCACATGAAATGAGATATAAGGTATCTGTAAATGTGTATGAATCATTTAATCACTAAATATTCCAATCTTCAACCCCATCAAGAAAACATATCTGGATTTACCTTACTGATACTGAAATTGATCATCGGTTTCTGAAAATATTCTGTAAGTCTAAATAACATTGTTTCTTTCTTCCGTTTGAGTACCAAATATTTAGAGTTCAGAAAAAAACATTCTACTAACGACACAATGAACAACATAATATCGGAAGTTGTTGTATCGGAACATTATTTTGAGCTGGACGTATGACCTTTGGTGACAAATTGTGAGTAGCATTTATATAATTAAAATTGGTTTCAAATTAGTTAGTTTGTAAAGGTTTTTGACTTTTCGTTATCCTTTTTTGTTCTATGAAATTTGAAACCCATCTGCATTTCATCTTGAAATATCTTCGGAAATTTTTCACAATATTTGGGTACAAATTAACTGCAAACATTAGTAGAAGATTGACGATTGACGGATTTCTATGTTCAAGTATTTCGAAAGAAGTAACGTTCCAACATTGGTAAAATCTCAAGTGATTGAACGAAACACAATTTGAGACGATTTTGTATCAACTTTCAACTGTTTTAATTATCAATATGGCTAACAACGAAAAGTCCATGGGTGAAAATATCCATGCTCCTAAGAAATCCTTCTTGTTTTTCTGATCAAGTGATTACCTAATATTCGAAAAAATAGACAAAAAAAGTGACAAATTATTATACAAACAGATTTCAAAAGGCGCAAAATTGTGGGGTACCCCACAATTTTCGGTATTTTGGGGTTCTTCAGCGCGTTTTTCAGCCGAATTCGCTGAAATGTGCTACATTGAGTTCTTATTGGGTCCTAAATGTCTCCCCAAAAAATTATAAATATAGGTCCACTTTTTCTGGTAACCCTTATATAACGGTACCTCCCAATTTTCAGTATTTTGGGGGTTTTTCTCGTATTTTCGCCGAAATAGCTGTAATTTAGTATTTTGAGTTCTTAATATGTACCAAATCTCTCCACAAAAAATTATGAATATAGGTCCATTTTTTCGGATAGCCTCCATATAAGGGTACCCCCAATTTTCGGTATTTTGGGGTTCTTGAGCGCGCTTTTCAACCGAATTTGCTGCAATTTGGTATTTTGTAGTCGTATATGGTAACAAATCTCTCTACCAAAAATTATTAATATTCGCTCCTTTTTGGGGGTAGTCCCCATATAACCCCCTTTTTATACCCTCCACCATAGTATGGAGGGTATATTAATTTTGTCATTCCGTTTGTAACTTATCGAAATATTCAATTGCTTTATGCAAATTGCCCTACGCAAATTGATTTATGTTAATTGCTTTATACAAATGACGTAATCGGTCTGTATTGATGACTCATCCATCTCTTTTCCTCTTGGTGTGTTGTGTGATCATATTGTGTTCTCTCTCTTTCCCTCTTATTGTTTTATGCCGTACGTCTGTTCAATATTTTCTTTCGTCTTTCCACAATGTGGTGCATTTATAATTGATTTATGCTAATTGCTTTACGCAAATGACGTAATTGGTCCATCTCTTTTCCTCTTGGTGTGTTGTGTGATCATATTTTGTTCTATCTCTTTCCCTGTTATTGTTTTATGCCGTCCGTCTGTTCAATATTTTCTTTCGTCTTCCCTAATGTGGTCCGTTTGTACGACCTTGATGACCCTGAAAGTTTATTGGTCCCTGAAATCAATAGCGCGTGTGTCCCATATTTGTTCTTTCCCCCTTTGTTCCGTATATTTCCCGTAAGCTTATGTGTGTTTCCCCCTTTCCCTATCCACTTGTTTGCTTTTTTTGTCTTGTCCAATGCGGTCCATTCGTATGACCTTGATGACCCTGTATGAATACCGCTTGTGTCCCATATTTGTTCTTCCCCCCTTTCTTCCGTATTTTTTCTGTAAGTGTCCCCCCCTCTTCCCTATTCACTTGTTTTTCGTGATGCAGTGTCGCAGTGCGGCCACCGCTCTTATCTACACTTATCCCCCATCTCTACCCACTTGATTTTTTTGGTTGCACAATTTTGTGAAATACATGAAGCAGTGTCTCATATGATTGTCTATTGGAACAAGACTCAATCCGATCATGGGTGTCTTATCAGAAAGAATTTGTTTCTGTTTATTTGATGCATACTTGTTGTTGTTATTTTTTTTCCAATATGAATCCATTGTTTGTAGTTTGTTAGAATTTACAATATGTAATGTCTGTCCATTGAGCCAATTTGAATCTTAAGTCTCTTATCAGCAAGTGTTTGTTGCTATGGTTGGAGAGGCGCCCATCGGTCTATAGATTCTACCAAGAGCATATGTCTGCCCCACCATTGATTATCTCTAATATTATTATTGTTTCTAATATTTGAAGTAAGCCTGTCTCTTTAAAGTATTGATCAGGTGTTGGATGCACAAATGTTAGTTTGTTGTTTTACTCTGACTATTGAGTTGAATGCAACATACATTGTTTTTGTTGTTTCTAACATGAATTCAAGAACAATATTTGCAAGATCATTATTTCATGACATTTTAATTTTCTTTATTTTAATTTATTTTTATAGTTGTCAATGTATTTCATTTGAAAACTATACATTTTCTAGCATAAGCGTAGATGGTGAATAAATATATTTATGCATATTGAGAAAATATAATAAAATATTCTGACTTTGTAGCTTGAACTGTAAACATTTTGTAATAAACTATAAAATATTAAATACTTGTAACATGTCGTCTGCTTTTGCTGCTGGTAAAGAAAATATTGAAAACATGGATAAATTTGGTTTGAAGAGTCCACGTAAAATTCTTGCCGAGAATGTTAATAATGTACGTAAAATGTCCATTGGTACTGATGAACCCGTACCCAACAAGGAAGCAACAACAAATACCACTACTACAAGCAATGTTGCTGGCACGTCTTTGGCCAACCGACCTGCTGTTCCCTTTGATCCGTCTATTGAACCCCTGCTAAAGGAAAATCCCAAACGTTTTGTTATATTCCCAATACAATATTTGGATATTTGGCAGATGTACAAAAAGGCTGAAGCTTCATTTTGGACCGTGGAAGAAGTTGACCTCTCCAAAGATTTAACAGATTGGGAAAAACTAACAGACAATGAACGCTTTTTCATTTCCCATGTTCTGGCCTTTTTCGCCGCCTCCGATGGCATTGTTAACGAGAATTTGGTTGAACGCTTTTCACAGGAGGTCCAAGTGACAGAAGCCCGTTGCTTCTACGGCTTCCAGATAACCATGGAAAATGTTCACTCGGAAATGTATAGCATTCTTATCGACACATACATCAAGGAACGCGATCAACGTGAATATCTATTCAATGCCATTGAAACAAAATGTAAACATTTTGTAATAAACTATAAAATATTAAATACTTGTAACATGTCGTCTGCTTTTGCTGCTGGTAAAGAAAATATTGAAAACATGGATAAATTTGGTTTGAAGAGTCCACGTAAAATTCTTGCCGAGAATGTTAATAATGTACGTAAAATGTCCATTGGTACTGATGAACCCGTACCCAACAAGGAAGCAACAACAAATACCACTACTACAAGCAATGTTGCACGTCTTTGGCCAACCGACCTGCTGTTCCCTTTGATCCGTCTATTGAACCCCTGCTAAAGGAAAATCCCAAACGTTTTGTTATATTCCCAATACAATATTTGGATATTTGGCAGATGTACAAAAAGGCTGAAGCTTCATTTTGGACCGTGGAAGAAGTTGACCTCTCCAAAGATTTAACAGATTGGGAAAAACTAACAGACAATGAACGCTTTTTCATTTCCCATGTTCTGGCCTTTTTCGCCGCCTCCGATGGCATTGTTAACGAGAATTTGGTTGAACGCTTCTCACAGGAGGTCCAAGTGACAGAAGCCCGTTGCTTCTACGGCTTCCAGATAACCATGGAAAATGTTCACTCGGAAATGTATAGCATTCTTATCGACACATACATCAAGGAACGCGATCAACGTGAATATCTATTCAATGCCATTGAAACAATGCCAGCTGTCAAGAAGAAAGCTGACTGGGCCCTATCATGGATTGCATCAGAATCGGCCAATTTCGGTGATCGTGTCATCGCCTTTGCCGCCGTTGAGGGCATCTTTTTCAGTGGCAGTTTTGCCTCCATCTTTTGGCTTAAGAAGCGTGGCCTTTTGCCCGGCTTGACATTCTCCAATGAACTGATTTCTCGTGACGAAGGTTTGCATTGTGATTTTGCCGTCTTAATGTTCAAATATCTGGTACAGAAACCTAGCCGAGAGCGTATCATTGAAATCATCAGAGAGGCTGTTAAAATTGAACAAGAATTCCTGACAGAAGCATTGCCCTGCAACTTGATTGGTATGAACTGTGAACTAATGTCGGAATACATTGAATTTGTGGCCGATCGTATGCTGGTTGAATTGGATGTTGGCAAAATCTACAATACCAAGAATCCCTTCCCATTCATGGAAATGATTTCCCTGGATGGCAAAACAAATTTCTTTGAACGCAAAGTAGGTGAATATCAAAAATGGGGTGTGACAGCCAATCGTTTGGACAATGTTTTCACATTGGATGCTGATTTCTAAAGCTGCAATTTATTTTGTGACACCATGCCCCAATCTCACTTAACCTTTCTTGTATGTAGTATAATTAAGCTTAATTTTTTCATAATTTGTCCTATATATAAAAATATCTGTATTTGTGTATTCTAAATCTAAATTAGTTTGTAAGAAGACGTCATCCATCATTATTAATTCATCAAAAATATGGCTCACGGACCAATATTTTTTGTGGACAATTTTTTATCTTCATTTTACCCATTTTATTATATATTGATCTTAAAGCAACTTCACCATATCGATACTTTTTAGAAAGCAGTAGAGAAACATTGATAGAAAACTAAGCATTCTTTCCAGTCTGTTTCCATTTCAAAATTGCATTACAAATCTGCATTTTGTTTGATTTGTTTGATTGTGAAACCCGTTAAATTATACATTTTTATAAAACAAAAAAAGGCATTCATATCAAACATAGTTTTTACCACCATTTATGGAAATAATTGCAACTTGTACATATACAGTATTTTTCGGTTAATTGCACATCAAAATTTGCACAAATTTTTGTTCAATTAACCGAGGAACCAATTATCCGAACCCGCTAACTTTGAAATGAAATATTTTTGACCCATCATGTGGTTCAATTAAGCGTGGAAACCAATTAACCGTAGGTTCAATTAACCGAAAAATACTGTATACTTTTTTTTATTAAATTTATACATATTATTTACTTCTTAAAAAAATGATTTTATCAAAATTTATTAATATATAATATAATTTATATAATATAATTTATTAATATATAAGAACACAAAATGAAAACGTACCTAAATATAATAGGTGAATTGTTAACAAACTATTTCTCTTTCTTACTAATACTTTGTTCTATGATAATCATGCTGCAATTAAATTTCTATGATAGAAAATACTAGATTTTGGGAAGCATTATATGATTGATCCTTATCAATCAGTTATTTAATGTAAACAAATATAATGTTTAAAAGCGAAGGCAAATTTGAAAAATGCATTCAGTTTAAAAAATCTCCATATTAAGTGAAATTGAAAAATAGTGAAGAAAATGGAGCTGAACAACCAATATTTGAACGTTTTCATTGAGGAGGAAAACGAACATTTAGAAGCATTCGACAGAATAATAAAAGGTTATGAACAAGAACAACAACAACTCAACAGAGCGAAACAAGGAGAGCTGGAATCCATAACAAATAAACTTAAGATTGAAGATGGATTCGATGGAGGGAGCAGCAGCAGCGATGAGTACACACAGTCGCAGGAAACGGAGTCCACAACATTAGACGATGAGGAGGACATCGGAAATGAAGAGGGCAACTGGAATGAGGAGGACATAGAAAGTTACCCATTCATACCTGAAGGACAATCCCTATGGACACTGGATCCTAATGATCCATGGTTTGAAGATTAGAAATATTATTATAAAAAAATAAAGAAGTAGTTATTGATATAATATTTTCTTCTCTAGATATAAGTTTTAGTTACGCTAAGTTTAAGCTATAGTTATGTAGGTTCGATTGATTTGTGTTAACAATAAAAAAGATAAATAAAATAAACGAAATAAATGTTTGATTACGTTTAAGTTGGGTTTTTGTTAAATACACTTAACACAAAGTTTTATAGTATTGCATAAACTCAATATATACTGCATTAGAATTCTAAATCATCAATTTTGTCTATTGAACATGGAACATAAAGAACAAACAACTATGAAAATTAAAAATTCATAATATATTAATCGTTTTTAAAGTGGTATAAAGCAATTTTTTCTTATATGGATATATAGAAAGGTTTGGTTTGGGTTTGATCTGTTTCAAAATAAAGTTAATTGGTATTATTTTGTTTGTGGCTTTGTATCCTTAAACATGATAGAATATAGAATGTAATATATTTTTGAAAACTTTTCTATAAAACCAAGATTTGTATCAGAATCTAAAATGGACTTAAATCCAGTTCAAAATATATAGTCACGATTTTTGAGTCTGCTGCATGTATGATCATAATATCGTATATGTTAACTAGAGTTAAAACAACACAAAAATAAAAATGCATTCATAACATAAGACTTTTTCCATACCTATGCAAGCTAGCTATGAATTAAAAAAAAATTAAGTTAAAAAATTAATAAGTAGTAATATTAATAAGATTTTTTATTTATAAATTTATATATCAAATATGTATAAAACATGTGTAAAAAGTCAACTGAAATATAAAAAAATATCAATAGTTAAAAGTTAGTATTACTAACGTAAAATTTTCAAAACTAGATGGCGTGGTTTGAGTTCAATGGGTTCTGGTTGGTTGTTTAACATTAAAATGGGTTCATTTTGGGTTCGGGTTGGGTTTAGGTTGGGTATGTTGATTTATAGTACATTAGATATAAATTTGTTGTAGGTTCCTTTGGTTGCATCATAAATTACCCATTTACCCTTTGGCTTGCATTTGATTAAACAAGTATCATGTTATTTTTTGTGTATATTTATTAAATATATTTAATTAGTATTGTTAGCAATAATATTAAAGTAACATGTTAATATTTTGTGATGATATGCACTTTTATCCTTTTTATGCACACATTAATTTCTAAATAAAACAGATATTTCTAGGTGAAGAGTATTTTACACCAATAGTAGGTATCGAAAATACAACATTTTAATCAGTTAAATTTGATACAATAAATGTTTTATTTTAATATTCCCATTTTTGAAAGAAGTTATAAATGGTATATTTATAGTAAGCAAAAAATAAGCTTGGAATTTTTTATATATTTTATAAGACTTTTCCGTACCTATTCAAGCCTGGTTATGAGTTAAAGAATAGAAGTATAGAATTTAAAAAAATTGATAGCTAGTAATAGTAAAAAGATTTTTTATTTATAAATTTATATATCAAATATGTATAAAAACATGTAAAGAAAGTCAACAGAAATATAAAAAACAATAAAAATTTATCAATAGTTAAACTTCTTAATATTAGTGCCGTAGTGGAATTTATCATTTCGTTGGGGTGATTTTGATCTCTAATAGCAATATGATGTGCTCCACATATATCAACATTATTTTCAGGTAAACCTCTATTTAGTTCCCCAGAATTTATTGCTGTATTGTTGGTTAAATTTCTTCTCATCAGATCACAGCTACTTGACAAACGTGCATGTTCGACAACTGGGGAATCCCTTCCTTTCCAACAGCAAATTTCAACTCCACAAAAATAGCATACTACCCTATCTCTTTCCCCAGTATAATAAAATCCAATCATAGCCAGCTCTTTGGGTTCCGGAGTTTTCAAGGGCCAGGAATTAAACGTTTTCAATCGTTCGTCTTCATTTTCAAGATTTGCTTCAAGGAAGTTGAATGGTTTTAAATTTGAGAAATTCATCTTTACTGTAAAACTTAAGATTGAACACTAAATAATAATTTCAAAAATCAGTTCCATTTTTATAGAAATAAGCAACAACATATGTTTATGTATTCATTATGTTTTTAATTTTAGTATTTTTCTAATGTACTTAGCACTCTTCTTCATATTGAACATAGAATAAATCGTTCGGTAAAAAAAGTCTTTTAATTAGAATTTGTATTTATTATATTGACCCATGTATGTATTATTTCCTTTGTATATATTATCATTTCATAGTAATAGGAGTATGTATCAGAGTATGGTATAATTATAGAAGGGCATGACATAATTACACATTAAGACATATGATTCCATTTTTAAAAATTCAGCTTTCAAAATTTACACGTGATTGTAATAACTACAAAATAATTTATTTTCTGCCACATTTTAAAGTTTCTTGCCTTTATAATATATATATATATATATATTTATAATATAAATATATAAGTTTTAAAATATATAGTCAAATCTTGAGAACAATGTGCATAAAAAATGTGATATGAATTTTATTGATTATAAGTTCATATTAAAAAAAAATATATTTATACATAGCATGTGTTATTATAAAAACAATAGCCATACAAATTTAAAAACTTTAGAAAATAAATATTTTTATTTTTTTATATGCATATAATATTATAGAATTGTCTAATAATTATATAATTAATATATTATGTCTGCTTCCCGTAGTTCTTCAATAATAGAAACTATCTCATTAGTATAATCATCATTTCCTGATTGATGCAATTCCAATAACAACTTTAGTCTTTCAACTAATACGTTTGGATCATGCCAGAATACATATTCCGGTTTTGCAAGATTAACTTTCATTAGACCATCCCCACTATGTGTACCGCCAATCAATTTTTTTATAATATTCTTATATTTGTAGCCTTTGTTTGACTTTACTCGTGCATTAGGATTATAATCCACTTTGTATGCATTTGAATCCAATAAAATTTTCTTATAAATCTCCAGTTCGGAAGCATCATAATTTTTTGGCTTTTGATGAAATAGAAGTTCAAACAAGCCTGGCGTAAGTGCCCAATGTTGGTTTCCAATGATAATTTTTTCATTCTTCAGTTTTAATGGTTTATCTCCAAATTTCCACTCTCCGTTTATGTCTTTATGTGGACCATATACAGTATCTAGTTTATTAATTTGTTTCAAAAATGAAATATTCATGTTTTCCACATCTTCATCATCATTTTCAGAATAGAATGTTTCGTCTCGTGTTTCATTATAGTTATTAGGTTGGTATTGTGTATAATCTAAATTGAAATCGTCCTCTTCTGATGTATGTGGTTTTATTTTATCTTCTTTAATTTCATGTATATAGCTCTTGTTAGGAGTACTAGTATGTGGATGTTCCTTGAACCCATCTACATTTTCAGCATTGTGTATCAAATAATTAGGAATATTTTCACTATTTATTTGAACTAATTTTTGTAGTTCTTCTGTTATGGGTTTAAATGTTCTATTCAGTTCTGCCGTTTTAACATCCTCTCCCATTTTGATGCTTTGGAATTTTTTCTTCAGTTCATTTCGGGAACGAACAAGTTTTTTTAACAAATGTTCGTTTTCCATGGTTTCTGTTATACTATTAACCCATGACTTATCTATACTATATAAATATTGATT